TATCATTCTTGGAACAATGTGTACTGGTGTTACAGAATCACAAACAACTGTACTAAATAGCAGAAACCACATCAATTTAGGACTTTCAACAACGGCAACAACTAAAAAGGATAGTGCATGTAACCCAAAGAAAAAAAATCATGAAATAATCAAGAAGTTGACGATCCACTCCAAATATAAAGGTAGGAAGAAATTCTTCTCAATAGTGGAAAGAACGATAACAGCTACTGGATTTCAGAAAGCTATTTTCCTGAAAAATTGTTTAAAGAGAAATATTTTATAAATTTCAACCGGCAGCATTGGTTCCACGTTCAACAAAAGCAGAAAGTCTTCTTATAAGGAATCATCTAATATTCCCAGAGCAATGCTCACTGAGGAACCAGAAACGTAAACTTGTCAACAACGATTCTTAACTCAGAAGTGTTATGCTTGTAGTTAATAAAAAGTGGAAACGATACATTTACGGTAAAAAAAATATGGGTATTTGACATCTTTAGAGGAATCCTGCAAATATTTAAATTAAATGTGTACCAAGAATATATATAATGTTGATGATTTTCATATAGGGAATGATTCAATAAATTCCTAATTCAAATACATGATCTGTCATTGGAGCCAAATGTTCCATTTCAGCTTTCCTCAGGAACTGAACTTAAAATCCTTCGGTTGTCAGCGTCGGGCTTCAGTGGGTAGGTGTCTTCAGTAGGTGCCTGGTCAAAATGGATGAATGACAGAAAAAAGATCGTCATATTTCGTATGTTTTCTACACTGGAATCGAATTGATGGCGGTTTATATTGTGTTGAAGCAGCTCGGAAACGAACTGTTGATTGAAGCCGTGTGGATTTTTTTCTGATTGGTCAGAAAATATTTTTATGTCAAATCAACTTTTCTTTATTTTTGTACTAGAAGTGGCTGCGCGGAGCCGGTCTAAAATTAAGCCAGTTAATGTCTGGTGTTGGTTAACGGTGGCTGTTGAGGTGAATACTCCCGTTTTCGTTAAAAAGTGGGAGTTCCGACAGGCTACAACATACTCATTACTAACTAATACTATTACTCAATGGCTTCACACAGCAAACTGATATTACTCTCATTTGAACAAGACTTTCTATACTACAAAGGATAAGTTCCTGTCACCACTATTAAACACGCCACGCGGTAGACGACCTTACTTATCAATCCTACTTTGTATTTCTTGCTTTTGAACCATCCTTTATTATCTACGATTATGTTTTCGGAGTAACCTTCATCTTTTATCCGACAAAGTTTGAAATAAACATCAGTAAGAGGGAAGTTACGCAGTTAGATCTTTGGTTCTAGTTTTATTATCTAATGTAAAGAATTCCCGTTGGAAAAGAAAGATTTACGTTACAAGTCCATCGCAAAATCAAGAAAACAACAGAAGACATCCTGCCAATAATTAATTTGCAAAAGCCTACTGAAATAATTAATAGAGATAAAATAATCAAAAACGAATATTGTCTCGGTGTTGTCCATTAATTTGACACTGTCTGACATCATTCTTTTGGATAATGTATCGGTGTTTTGGAGGAGGGAACATTTTGAAAGGCAATATAGAGTTCAAGAGGCCAGACTTACAAATAGATTGAGTATTAACCAAGTTTTGCACATTCTTCCTCTCGAGTTGTCGATAGCGAAAGACAGACAAAAGATAAATGAAAACGAGGCAAATAAAAAGGGAAATAATTTCTTTTTTTTTCTTTTTTTTCAATATTTATCACAGTAATTAGGGTTTTTTTCTTTCTTTTCTTTTGCAGGAACTTGAGTCTATCTTTATCAAATCTAGACTTTCGTACAGCAGATGTTTTAAATGTATCTTAAAGGTATTTATGCTATTGTAATGTTTATCCTACTAGACATACACGCTTATAATTAATCGTGTTTCGAATTATAACATGAAATCTTGTCAATGATTCATGAATTAATCAAACTTATGGGAGGTGTAAAGTAATTCTCTGAGAATTAAGAGTTCACAAACGCATTGAGAGACAGCAGCTCTCATCCAACACAGCCTAGAATAAATAAAGACGAAGTGAGGTTATCTCCTTTTACTACGAGATATAATATGCAACTAGAGGTGATGGCTACCGGGGTGAAGGAACGATAAGCGTCTGTAATAGGTTTTTAATCATGATTTCATGTCCTGATTTATGTTAACGGAGTCATCCACTGACGTCCCACCCCAACAAAAGCACGTGGTGAAATGAGCGGGAGCCTCGTTATGAAATTCTGGAATCAAGGTATTCTACTTTCAGGCCGTTTGTAATTTATTTTTACTTTTATTTTATTTTTTATTTTATTTTATTTTATTTTATTTCATTTATTGTAAGTGCCACAAACTCGTATCTTCACTTTTTAACACACCTTTTCAATCGATGTGTTCTTTGGTTTCTTCAGGTAAACTTTAAGTTCTGTCGATTATACGACGTCGTGGTGAAAAGTTCTTTACTTACATAAAATTGACCAACTAATCAGAAATTATTTTCGAGTCCCTTTCATCGCCCTCTCTTATCTGAATGTGAATTTTCTTGTCAATAAATGCTTTGAAAACGTAGACTTGTGCAAGATAAGACTCAATCTATGTCCCAGATACCTGCTTATCATAGCATGAGAAAAATCGAGTAGAAAAATAAGACAATTAGAGTTATAACGAATGAAATCTTTGTAATCATTTGACATCCTAACTGAAGATTTATAATTACTCATAATCGCGAATGTTGATTTTCAAGACACTGGAGCAACACAATCCAAAATGGTACAAACTTGGCATGTGACAATATATATATATATATGTTACCACATAACACTCTTGAACGCTTAGCTTTAGAACGGGTACAATGGAGATCAACATGTTTTAGTGGACTCAGCAGTTTTCAATCTGCTTGTCTGAATCATCTTCTGGAAGCGAGAGCAAGATCTAAAAGGTCAGCCAATCTAACAGTGATCTCATCTCACAATTCTCACACCTGCTCCATATGTGGCCTCCTTTGTAAATCACTAGCGGGTCTTAAATGCCACTTAAGATTATCGCATAAACTTTCATAACTGAATCAATAAGCTGGCAGATCCTCATACGTCGAAACCGACGGGGAGAGTCCATTATATATATATATATATATATATAAATTTTTGGAAAAAAAATATGATTCCATCGCTACACAAGAGTTCTCATGTTTCTAGATGAATTATGATATATATATATATATATATATATATATAAAGAAAGAACAGTAAGATATAAAATCCGGTGTTCTTATAGATATTTTTATTTTTTACAAAATAGTGCTCAATGTAAATTTACAGAGCATTAATATTATAATTAATTGATTTAAAAATATGGTTTTTTTGCTACAGTTCAACCATGTTTCAAAAATAGAAGCTAAAAACTTGGGGTTTTTAGCTTCTATTTTTGAAACATGGTTGGAAACTGTGTAGCGAAAAAAACATATTTTAAATCAATTAATTTATAATATATATATATATATATATATATATATATATATATATAGTCTAGAATAATCCTCAACAATGCAGAAAGAACTGGACGACCGTTTTGTCCTATATTTGGGGCTCATCAAACAAAGCAGACTCGATATAGCGTTAGCTCTTCACAAATTCCGTCGTGTGTACTTATACCAACGGACTTTGTTACTTCATATATATATTGAAATTTTTCTTATTTACCTTTCAAGTTCCGTAATTATTTACTAGGTATGAATTGAGAACCCATTGCAATAAAAACGGAAAATTAATGTTCATGGTTAATCAAAATATTTCAGAAGTTAAATCCTAATTGTAATGCTGGATCTCAGTGAGGCACTGTTCTTAAGTGCTGAGGGAGGCAGAGGGATTTAAGAAATTTCGGGTCAGCAAGGGTCTCAGAGGAATGGCAGAAGACTGAAGTGAAGAGATTAAAGTTTTGGGTGCGCCGCGGGGAATGAGTGCGGCTCTCAAACGTGAACTTTATCGTACGTGTCTCTTACATTAAGCAATTTTGACCCCCGATATATATGTATGTGTGTGCACGCGCCTGTGTTTGTGTATGTGTGTGCGCGTGAATAATTTTGAATGTGAATACTATAAATGCTAAATCTATGAGACAATTTTCAAAATTTAAAACAACACGAAATTTAAAGAAAAAATATATACGAACATAAAATGGATTTATAGGGATTTTCCAAGCAAAGCTTACATGTGGCACAAGGTCAAAAGTATGGGCGTTGAACTCAATACACAGTTGTAATTGTTCTAACAAGACAAGCTTGCTAACCATTACACCACTCCGAGGTGCCCTAAAATGGGTTTATAAATTAAACAGCACGCTCAATGCGCCATTGGCTTTCTACCAAATCACGTCGAAACATCGGTTCCTGTACGAGCACCGAAGTTAAGCAACGTTTATCCTGGCCATTAACTAGTAGCCGCTTGGGAACACCAGGTGCTGTTAGCTTGAATGTGGTATAATGGATTATGGTTCTGAATTGCTAATCGGAAACCCAAATTCTAGTTCTCGCTGGTTTCGTTATATTTCCATATGTTCAAATACCTTTTGAAATGGTATGCAGCTATCTCCCCCACCCGCTCAATTATGAGTTAATTAGTAAAACTTGTATCATTAACCATTATTATCTCTAAAGAAACAAAATTCTTTGAATCTAAATATATTTTCTAGCTTTGAATAACCTGCAAAGGGTTGATAAGCCGTAGAAAACCAATCAATCAATCAATGCACCTATGTATCACCGTGATCACCTGGAAGACAACTTTCTAATAAAAAATTAAATTCAATTTATTCAGGTGAAAAAACATTGAAAGCAACATGATCTACGAATCCCCTACGAATAATATACGACACGGCTATTTCTGGTTGGTTCTTACTAAAACTCGAACTTTAATTGAGTGATTTGTTTTTTTTTTTACGGTTTATCAACCTCTTGCAGGTTATTTAAAACCAAACAATATTTTTAGACTGTCAGACTTTTCTTTTTTAGATTTACTGATACAAGTCTTACTAATTAACCCATAGCTTGGGGAGAGAAGAAGTAGATTCATAACATTACCAACGGTATTTGCGCGTAAGTGAATGCAAAGAACGAGACGGGAATTGGAACTCGGCTCTCCGATTTCCAATTCCGAGCTTTTATCCTTTACAGCACCGCACACCCAAGCCTACAGCACCGGGTATTCGCAAGAGGTCACCCATCTAGGTACTGACCTAGATCGACATTGCTTAACTTCGGTGATTGTACGGGAATTAGCTTTTCAACGTATGCTTAAATTCGAACTGAAACAATAATGTAAATGAATATATAGATAAAAAATATAAATAAACACTTAGTTAAAATTAATTAAAATCCAGTTTCTAAAACGATACAGTTAAATTTAAGAGTTAATATGTTTAAAATGAATCACGTTTTGTCCTGTTAATATAAATTTTATTAAATTAAAATTTATTTTTCTGATTTTCTTTCATCGGCGAAATGCGGCAAAATAGAATTTTTCTTAACTGTTATATATTTACTAGAATTAATACTCGATTCAGAGAAGGAAATTGATTCTGAGTCAAATGTTTTTTACTTCAACATCCAAATGATATAATCTTAGATCTAAATTTCCATTTGACATTGAACATCTAAGTTCATTGAACTGGTTGGCTGGAATCAGGTTCATCCAGAATATGCCGCTTGTATTGATATTTTAAACTTGTACCTACAACATCGGAATCTAGATCCGGTATAAGCAGTTTAATTAAAGGAATATTCTAAATGCAGGAAATGTGAAATATATAGTAAGTCCATTTCGTGTAACGTAACAGACATTGTGAAGTGTTATTGCGTTCATGCCAGGAGGAATCCACGTGAAATTTCTAAGAGATACATCAAACAGGATCACGGAGGCACTGTAGGGTTCCGAGAAGAATGGTAAAGCTTCGATTCACAGCGGTGATGTAAAGATGGATGTACATAGAATGTACTTCTCTTGTAAAGACGTTCTAGAGAAGCGAAAAAGAGCTCAAGGCAAAAGTAGCAATCGGTGTTTAAAAACGCTCGACCAAGATATTGAATCAAATCGTATCACAGTTGAATCCCCATTCGTTCAAGTGTGTTTCTTATGTATTACCTTTTTTTTTTAAATGTTCTGATATCGTTTTATATACTCAGTGGGAATGAACACATTTTAACGACATTCGATTTGATTCGGTCGAAGACAGTAGGGACTGAAACTAAATGCATTCGTTGCATATCTACAGAAATTGCATACTGAATAGCAACGATTAAAATGTTTTAAAAAGCAATCAACATTGAACAGATGTTTCTGCTTTTTTGTTTTTGGTTTTTTAATTTTATCGGCCCATTCAAGAAGGGAGACGCGGATAGTGTAATATCGGCGCAGAAAGTAAATTATGCTCGGTTCTGTTTTGTTCACTTCGCGCTAATGCCTTTGAAAAAAAAGTATAAATCCATCTTCCTCCAGCCATGGGTTAAATAGTAGAGCAGACTAAGTTCTCCTGCCTAGAGAGGCGGCAATCAGTCTAAGAGAAGGAAAATTATGATCACACGCACACTCACATACATGCACACACACACACACATATATATATATATATATATATAGATATGTGTGTGTGAGTGTGTGTATATATGTATATATATGTGTGTGTATATGTATATATATATATATATATATATGTGTGTGTAAACATGCTTTAGAGTTGTGAGTATTAATTTTTTATATTAAGCATAAAGAAAGATTACTGGTTGTCATTTACATTAAAAGTTAATCTGGGTCAACGTATTTCTGCAGATATTTATTTTTATACCTGCATGTAAGTCATTTCTCTTCTTTAATGAGCTAGGATTATTTGAGTTTTTTTAAAATAACTAATTTTTCAACAAGGCATAAATTACATCTATCGAATTTCACTTTATAAAATTTGGCTTTAACTATAATATCCCACGTAATAATGGTTGCCTTACCACCATTCTTTAATTGCCAGAAAAAGTTTTGAGAGAGCAGTGCTGTTTATGTATTTTATATTGCCTAAAGTTATTCGATGATGGTAGAAACTAAATATGCAATTCTAGCATTTTTTTAGATACTATTGCACTACCTTTAAAAAGCAAATGATTGCTTTGTTTGTTGCTCAACTAATCTTTTATAATAACTTACGTCCTTTCCTTGGATATTGCAATGTGACGTTTGGAAATGCTTATATAACTAACTAGGAAGCTACAACTCGTTTGACATTTTGCATCCGCAAACCAAACAAAGTGGAAGAGGCCAATTTTCATCTCCAGTCGAGGTGAAACCATAACTTAAATAACTTTTGTCATATTTGCGATTAGGCCTAATCTTATTTTTCTTGGCTGGACACTTTATTACACTTGAACTAATTAAGTGATAGAATGTTGTACAATATAACCTCTAACAAATTTGGTTCCCGTGAATACTGGCGGTTCGGTAATTATGTGATAATAAGAGTAAGTCTTATAACCCTCCTCTCTTCACTCAATTTGCGCTGTTAAAATCTGCTGGTAAAGCAGGATATTTTGCTCGTAAAACCTTTTCAAATTTTACTCTTGAATCATCTGGAGTTACTTTACCTGAATTTCCACTTAGAACTGATTCTCTATTGTGATATGCATATAACTCTGTCCATTTTTTCTGTTATTATCTATAACCTGGATAGCCACAAAGCATGTGGATCTGATGGTATCCCTGCAATAGTCCTTAAGGAATATGCTCTCGAACTGGCTCCTGTTTGCTCTCTAAACTCAAGTAAATGCCTCGCTGCTTCTTGCTTTCCAACTTGTTGGAAATCCTCTTCTGTAGTTCCAGTGAAGCTGGCTGTTGATTGGTATATCTCGAAGGCATTTAATAGGCTTTGACATATTGGTCTTCTTCATAAGTTGATAGGTTATGTTTATTTCTGGGCGAATTTTTGAACTGATTATCAAATCGTGAAATGAATGTTATCTTGAATGCCCACTCTTCTAGATCTTTCTGCATTAAGACAGGTGTCCCCCAGGGCTCTAACCTTGGACCTAAATTGTTCTTAATTTTCATCAACGACCTTCCTGATGTCATCAGCTCTTAATTTGGTATCTATGCTGATGGCAAAACTATTTACTCCTGTCTTATTAGTAAGTCTGATCGGTTCGATAAGATCAAATTGGCAGCTGATCTCAACAACTAGCTACAATCTGTTGTTAACTTGGGCAAGGAATGGCTTGTTAATTTTAACGCCTCCAAAAGGAAACTGCCCTCTTTTAATCGCCTCTTTTGTGTTCTATCACTATGGCTGATTCTAGCCTTCAGGAGAGTGACTCATTGTACCTTCTCACGTCAACGTTTTCCGTTGATGTGGAGTGGAAAGATTATATTGATGCAATTGCTAGGTCTGCTGCAAGAAATTTGGTTCACTACGTCATGCTAGACAATTCTTCTCGACAAAAAATTTAAATTATCAAATGACAAAGAATTGATTTTGACACGGATGCCATGTGCTTGATGTCTGTAGCTTTTAAAAAAAATAAAGATTTTTGAAATATGAAAATAATGCATAAATTAATCTTCCGTTAACGTAGGGGCACTTATCAGGGCGCATTAGTGCGTCCGGGCGCAACGGTTGAGAAACACTGTCCTATAGTCCCAATTTATTGAAGTAGATTTAGAAAATATACACGAATCAATAATTACGGACAGGATTTTCAATTTACTTGCACCAATTAAAATTTCTTGATGGCAATGGAACATCATACATAACAAAATTTATAAAGGATATTTAGGTTTATTCTTGAAAATGTATTTGTTTCCAATAGCAAAGAAATCATAGGGGATTATTAGAAAAATATTAACCATTTCTGCTTGGTTTAACTCTGAAATGTGTCAATCACATTCAATGCTACACAGTTTACAACGCCGATCTAATTTTTACAATTAATTGGACCTGAAAATTGAATAGCCTATTTAATTAATTAATGCAAACGCCTTGTTCGATTACACGACTGATTCCCGCAACTGAATTGGCCAATGTTAGAAGATTGATTGCAACTCAAACCCAAACTAATTTTAATATGCACACTGAATAAATCGTAAATCTGAACGGCTTGTCGTATTTCCTCCGCGGACTTGTCTTATATAGTAATTTATGAATTCACTTATTGCAATATTGTAAAAAAAAAATCAATTAGTTTTTCGTCAATGATTTCTTCTTTATCGATTTTCTGAGTGATTGATTGATTTAATGGCTAATTGCATCTTAATAAAGCAAAATATTTGGTAGAGAAAAGGCGCCGATCAGAATCAAAATGTGATGGAAAAATAATAAAAATAATTCTCCATCTTAAATTGTTAAAATGACATAACACGTCTTTCTTAGGAGAACATCGCTATAATATAAAATGTTACTCTATTTATAATAGCTTTTTACGCGGCTTAACTTAATTTGGCACAAGACAACTATTGTGGAGCGTTTATGAGAATTAATAATTACTACATTAGTGATTGTAAATGAGAATAATTAATTACTGTCAGGTGGTCTAGTGTAGGTTTATGTTAAGCTGAGCTTATATATATATATATATATATATATATATATATATATATATATATATATATATATATATATATATAAGCTGAGGTTGGAAATGAAATGGTAATCTTTATAACATCAACAAAATATAATACTCACAGCGACGTGAAGTAGGTAAACCACTGCTAGTTGTTGATTACTAAGACAGCATATTATCCCACCCCTTACAATAGTGTCCAACCTATTTATGAGGGTTGAGACATACCCATTAGTGTTCATAGGTACATAGCAGTTCTATAGAAGTATACTGAGAATATCACAGACTGAACATATGAGTAAAAAGGATGTTTTAAGGAAACAATAAATAATTATATTCTTTATATTTGAAACTTTTAATTAACATATACTGCCGATATAAACCTATATATATATATATATATATATATATATATATATATGATAAGCAAATATAAATGGATATAAATCCGACAGAATGAAGAAAATTTTCTTCATATATATATATATATATATAAAGGAAGAGGTTATAGTAGTTCCAACGAGAGAAAAGTGTATATTAAAAAGAAGAGAGAAACCGAAAACCTTTTTGGTTGTATTTTCCATAATTTTGCTACACATGTTTCCGGTCTCGCGACCTTCATCAGGCAAAGCGTGTAGATTTCCACATCATTAAAAATAATTAATTTTTTTCTTATGTTTTTCGATGTTAAA